TTTGTCAAATAACCTTTAGAGGCTTTGGTATAGCTTAGACTAGACTGATTTGATTGTTATGTCTGGGGATTCAGCCTGGGGAAAAAATAAAGAAAATGAAAGTGTCCTTATTGATTAATCCATTTCCTTCTGTCTTTTGATTCAGAGGTTCAGTTTCAGAGTCTGCCTGGGATATATAATGTATTTCAGAGAACACTTCATTGGTGAAGGTGAGTGGACAGCTGAGAGGTATTTTTGAAATGTGCATAGCTTAGAAATTGAACAGACATTGATCTTCACTTAAAGGACATTATGTACAGTTCTTTAAAGAGCAAAGAAGTTGGTCTTTTGGTCTGATCAGTTTATTACAGTACTATAGGTCAGAACAATGGCAAGGAAAACAGTGACAAGGGACCTATCAATCAGATTTGTTAATTCAGTATTACTTTAAACTGCATAAATCTTAAATGATGATGATAGATTATTCAGATTGCATGAAGAAGTGGCAAGTAGTTTATTATCTCAAATATCAGTATGTTAAATACTACTGCTAGCTAATGATGCATCTCTTGGCATTGTGTTAAGATAACATATTTCAAATTTCCTTACTGGTACGTTTAGTGCTTTCATGAAATTAAGAAGAAGATTTCGAATCAATGATGGGATGTTATCCTTCAAAAATCACTACTATCAGCAAGGCTAACAGTTCAATGATATAATTCATGCAAAGCCTTACGTTACATGAAAGCCCATAAAGTACATATTAATGTTATCATAAAAATATCTAGAAATTCAGTATTACACATTCGTAGTACAGTTTCAGCTGATGGTAAGATGCATTAATTAACTACACCCACAAAACGCTTTGTCTCCTCAAGACAAGCGTGCAGTATGTGGCGTTGAACCAACCTGCCTCTGCTCTCATGATGCTGCCAGGCAGACAGCCTCTATGAGACAGAGCTGAGAATACTTACATTCATGTTTAGGAATCTGAAATAAAGCAATATCCCACATGAGCAGAATTTTTCCAGAAGAGATCAGATGACACCAGCGTTCAGAACAATGTGTAAAACAACTTTCAGATAAAGCCTTCCACTATATTTTTTTAAGTCACACACAGCCAAAATCATGCTTTTCTGCCTTCTGTCTGAACAGAACAGAGATAAGCTTTTTGTCCTATAGCACTCAGATACCCAGACATTAAATGGCTCTTAGAACAGACTCATAATATCTCAAGACATTGCAGAATTCTGTTCAGCTGCAAAACTCAAACTGGGAGATAAAGTAAAACACTTGATAAGATCAAGTATTAATATTCACGGTGTTCTCTACTAAGCATGTGATGATCATACAGTTAACAACTGCACCGTATTGCTCATGCACAAAATGGCAGATTTAGTGTTGTGCAGGCATAGTATTGAATAAAATTCAAGTGAAAAGAAGAAAAAGTTGTTTGCTTTCTTCCACAGGACCATTCTGTCAAACTTCTCTAATGCAGCATTCTCTCTCAATTTCTACTGAAAAAAACTCACGTATACTCTGATTTGTTCTATGCGCAGAGCCTTACTTGTGCACGTTTTTGTTCCTCTTCTACTCCTTTCTCCATCTCCAAACATTCAAGGGAAAAATCAAGTAAGGTCTCTCAGAATGATGTCACAGACTTTCCTAACATACTGTCTCCCCCACAAAATCGAGCATGCTTTCCAAATACCTCATCTTTTTTCCATTAAACATTATTCTAAGCCTCCTCTCCCCATATACCTTCTTAGGCTCATCTCCCCCTCTTGCTTTCTTTTCTCCTTTTTCTCCCATAATCTCTACTCTTTTCCTGTGAGTACCGCCTTTCCTGGAACAGTCTAAGGGTAATTAGGCTGGAAACAACATTAGGGCAAGTGTAGTCCTAGGAAAGGCTACTGAATATAAAATATATGGATGAGGGTAATACTTGATAATGCATGAATAGGATCAATCACAAAGGCTTGACAGTAGAAAAAAAGACAATTTTCATTCCCATGACTATGCTGACACAAAATGTTAAGTTATGAAGTGTTAGTGGTCTCTAAAACTTCATGGACACGTTTGTAGTATCAATTGTAACCCCCTCATAATATAAAAGTAGAGGTTTCAGTTTTGTTCATGAAAGGCTGCCTGTTAATCTCAACAAAAATAAACACAAATAAGTAAAATGGGTCTCTTCAGTGAGACGGTATCATTTTTAACAGCTGCTTCTTCCAGTGCAGCTGCACTTGTAAGCTGCCTAAACAGGTACTGGAAGTATCTGGTAAAGATGTGAACCCACTTCCTTCCAGACTTAGAGCTACATATGTATGTACTAATCAATCTACTAATGAAAAGGGAGCCCAAATTACAAGGGCCAATACGGAGGTCATACTAGGGCCAAGGTGGGATATTAGCCTTTTTGTGTTCTAGATGACACAGAGAACCAGCTGTTTCACATTGACTGTGAACTACATCACAGTTAAAACTCTTGCTACCCAGGGAAATCAGGCTGTCTGCCCTCACCTTTTGTTTAACATAAAGCCAGCGTTCAATGTAACTTCCTTCACAAATACCAGCCTAGACACACCACCGGAATATAAATGATTAAGCCAAGAAGTGCAAAATTTCATATTCAATTACCTGTCACATTTTACTGGTAAGTCTTTTTCTACCCTCTGGGTCTGATTCATCTTTTCAGTTACACTCATGTAAATAATGAGAAGCTTTACCAAGTTAAAGGAGTTACATCAGTGAAAAATTGTGGTAAGTGAGAATAAAATCAGGCCCTCTTGTTTTAAATTTGGGTATCTCTGAAGGTAATGACTCAGAGAAAAAATGTTTTATATTTCACTTTCTTTAGACTCATTTAATTGATATAAAACTGCAATAATGGCTATCAAAATCTGCCAAACTATACTGTTACTTTATATATGAAAGTGCCAATAAAACCTGATATATTTAGAAGTCTCATCTATTAACAATTTTTATCAAGCATAAATCACAAATGACTTCCATAAAATCGCTGCCAAAATGTAGCAATAGCACAATCGCAAGAACAGCATCAGCAATTTTAAAATCTCTTAAACATTCCTCTCCTTTTTTTGTCAACTTACTGGGATATATTAGTCTGGGAATAAATTTCACTTGTGCAATTATTTAGTAAATATATACTATCATCAGATAATATGTAAATACATATCATGAATCACTGGAAATTACAACCTATGTTAACAATGTAATAGTTCCATGCGATACCAAAAATACAAGTTTCTTTAAGGATCATGCTCAATCACTACTCTAACAAGGAGAGTGAAACATTTCTATTGGAATTTTTCTATTTTGGCAAGGCTAAAGCTTTTTATTGCTGTAAGGATGCAAAGAACAACGTGACAGTCTGGAATAGTTCCTTGGCCAATTTAATTCTAGGATCTCTATTGACTTCAAAGGAATTTGTGAATTTACATTACTTGAAGAGCTGTCTGTTTGTTCATACTTTTAGAGTAACTGTCACTACTACAATTAGAAAAAGGTCAAACCAAGAGTCTTTGCAATAATTAAAAAACCAGAATCTAAACAATCATGCAAGCATAAAACATACAATAATGAAAAGTATACTCTGTACCACTTACAGTTTAACTTTCAGAACTGGACACTTGAAACGTTGATCTCGATAAATGTTCCTACTGAGTGCTTCTTCAGAGAATAAGATACACTTTTGTTGTTGTTGTTTTGAAGAAATGTACCTATTGCTCTGGTTGTTATTTTAATGCTCTTTCCTCGGTAGCTTTGCTGCTGCTTCTATGTCATTTTTTTGGTGTGTGCAAGCTTTCTTGAGCTATTCTGATAAATTTGTTCAATCACAATAGAACTTTATGAAAAACTATTTACCTAAGAACAGATTTACAGGAGAATTTGGAGATCTGGAGTCTACTGCCAGCACCTAACTCTATCCCTTTAAGTGCCAATAACTTTTGCAAAATCCTCTTTGTGCTGTTATCTAACACCTTCGTTGACACATTTCTGCTGAAAAAGCCCCAGCAGTGGAGTTATTCAAGCCATTTAACTTTGGGAAGTAATCTGGGCCTAAGTTGAAGCCCTTATCACTGATGAAAGAAAAGCCTCCAGTGATATAGCTGGAGTATTTAGTTTAGGAATTTAAGTACTGCACAAATAGTCTTAATGCTTTCCATAAAGACCACATTTCAGTCACTGGGCAGGAACGAATTTGCCCACATCTGAACACTAGTGCATCATTTGCATCTACTTAATTTCTGATGCCAAGTGAGATCCACAAAACAGACATTTCCACTATATTGCTGGCAAGGACCCTCATCTGGTAAAAGAAGTCTAAGCATGCACATTCTGACTTCTCATATGCTCTGGATAGCTCAGTAGATATAAAGTCAGCCAGACACATGACCAAGCCAGCAAGTATTTTTTTGGTGACTTGTCCTAAGAGTACTCCCTACCAGCAGATGATTGGGTGTTCAATAGCATAAATCTGTTCCACCTAAAATATTCATCGCAGCAGAAACTGTGTTGTCCAGTTGGGTACCTTTAGCAGCATGGGTTAGAGCCATTTTTCTGGTGCGCTTATCTTAGCGAGCACATAGAAAACTCCCTTTTGAATCTAACCTGATATTTTAGCAGCTTTTGCAGTGATGAAAATCATGTGAAGAGAAGGTTGCTCTAATTACCTCTCATGATAGGGAGCAGCAAAGCTGTTACATTTGTTTCAGAACCGCAATATGCATTCTCATCAAAACAATTCACCATAGCTGACCAATTTCTTGCTTATCAACCTCACCTTTTCTGTCTTTTGCTTGTGTAAAGAGGGGGTTGTCTTGGAGTCAGCTGTTACACTGAAGCACCTGCTGTTTTCACTTGCCTTTTACAAAAAAATTCTGAAGTGATTAGGTAAATATCACTTTTACAATCAAAAGCTGGAGAGATCTGGCAGAATTTTATTCTGTTTAACCTTGTTCGTTAACTATGTGTACCCAATCATTCGAACAACTTACCCGCCCAGCATAATGCATAATAGTGAAGGTGGAGCTCTGATCCTTTGGGGCAAGGTTACCATTTCCGTCTTTTCTGGAGGAATATACTGCATTTGTGTCCGATGTATCCAGGTAAGATTGAATGCGTTTAGAAAGACTCTGTTCCATTGACCAAATAGATTGGCTTTCTTCATCCAGCATTGACAAAAAGCCTGACGGCTTCTGAAATGAAAAACAGATTTTTCTGTTTTTATATAAGAGCAATAGAATTCCGGTTGCTTGCTGTAGAGTAACAGAGTTTGCAATTTAGTAAACAAAAATGTGTATTGCCTTTTAGGGGAAAAAAAGAAAAAAATGGTTAAAGTGCGCTGATGAGTCTCCAAGTCTACACACACCAGGTAATTCTGCAAGAAATATAGGGAATAGTATATCATTTGCCAAAAATGATAATTACTGCTGATATTTTAGAAAATCGATTAGTTTACTTCCTTCCTAGAAGTTGTACTCCAGAAACTAGCTCCAGGCACAGAAGAAATTGTCAAGCTTACAACAGGGGACAAAGGGCATGGAACGACACGCAGACCCCAGTATGGGCAAGGAGCTTCGGTTACATCTTCTTCTATCCAGGACTGTTATGAATCTCTATTAGCCCTTGTACACTGGGCAGTTACGATGGCCCTCTCTGTGGTCTCTTTGGACCTATAACCTTCTCAACATTTTCATAAATCAGAAAACGCAGGCACAAGTTTTTATTGGTCTAACACACAGAGTATGCACATAAATATGCATGGTGTAAAATGGATCTGAAAACTACCTGAAAGAAAAAATTCAAGGCTGCAGTATGGTTACCAGGAGAATACACTGTTTCCATGGCAACTCCCTCTTGTACACATTCTGCTTGCTCTTGTAGGAAAAGCGCTTCGTTGATATACTGGTGTATCTTCTCATTGGTCATGTTGACACACAGCTATTGCACAAGGAAGAAAAAAATGAGGATTAGAAGTTTACCGGATAATTCATCAGTATAGGGTTTACTGCATGTCTAATATGGAATCTGAGGAAAACGCCAATCTACAACATGTTATCTCTCAGTATACCACAGATTAGGAAGACCCTAGAGAAATTTACATTGTAACAACCGCTATTATTAAATTGGGAAGAAAGAGTTTTCTGTCTGTATAGATCACTGTGAATTGCACATAAGAATGTCATATACCCAATTCCTACCAGAATTATCAAATACAGTGTAAATTCACACTAAGTCTATTGATTGAAGTGGAATAACGCTACATATAAATCGGTACACTTAATATTCTTCTGCAGTTTATATTCAGGAAGACTGTACAGTCACAGTGTGTTTTAGAAAAATAACTACATATTTGATTACGGTCCTGATTATGCAGTTAGTTCAGTATTAACAAAGACATTCAAATTCTGCTTCCCTATATAACATCACTGAAGTCTAAAACAGTCTCTGAAGAACTCACTCGATTTCTCCCAAATATATCTTCTAAAATAACTAGGCATAGTTTACTGCATAGTTAAAATCCTTCTGCTTTTTATCAATATTCTAAGGAAAGGCTGGCAAGAAATAATAATATAAAAATCCCTTCAATACTGAGTGTCTTATGAGAGTTATAGTGCTTGCTTTCATTCTCTTATTAGGGGCCCAGCTGCCCGATTTAACATCTCCAGTAATGCACCCCACCCTCAGCTTCTGAAATACAATAATGCACAGGAAGACTTTTATGGGAATGGAGCATCTGGGAATGAAATGCCAAGTCTTTAACTTGGTGGAGAAGGAATGGGTACACAAGATAGCTGAACTGCAGCTCCCACAAAATGCTTCAGTGGTACTTAATGTCTCTAGATACTTTTGTCCTCAGCTAAACTGTGTGGTGTGGGGCTGAAAAAGAAAATATTTGCAATACCAATTTCCACTTT